ATATATTTTGCATTTATATATGCAATGCAACTCATCTTACAATATTATTTTAATATTTATTTATTTACTTTTGTACTAAGATTGAATACAGGAACACTTTACCATTGAACTACATCTTTAATTTTTTTTTTTCTTCATACAGGGATTTGCTAAGTTGTTGAGAGTCTCATTAAGTTACCGAGGCTGGCTTCCACCTCTTGAGTTGCTGGAAGTACAGGTGTGAGCCTCTGTGCCCACTCTATTATTTTTATTTTAAAAGTTGTCTTTCAATAAAAAGGTAGTCTTTTCGTGTACCTAAATATTTACCAGATCTCATTATTATTTACAGTAAATTTACATTTCTAGATAATTTCCCAATAACTTGAAAAATTGCCTTAGCACTTTTTTTTAATAATGTGGGGTGCTGGTAACAAATTCTTGAATCTTTCTTTTATCTGAAAATATAGTAGTTTCGCTCTCATTTTTGAAGGATTTTTCTCTAAGTAGAACTATAGGTTCACAGGCTTTTTTTCTTTTAAAACTGTGACTATATTGTACTATTCTTTTCTGGTTTCCATTGTTTCTGTTGAGAAGTCAGTCATTATTATCATTTTCCCATCTATGCATGTGTCCTTTTTCTTGGGCCACTTTTAAGATTTTTCTCATTACCTTTGGTTTTCAGCAGTTTGGCTATGATGTACATAGGTGTGATTTTTCTGTATGTATATCCTGCTTGGTATAATGAACATCTTGGGTTTTTAAATCAATGTTTGTCACCTAATTTCAGAAATATCTGGCCATTATTCCTTCAAATATTTTTTGTGCTCCATTTTTTCTCTTATCTTCCTTTGGAACTTCAATTAAATGGATGTAAGATAGTTTGATACTGTTCCACAGGCCACTGAAGGTCTATTCAATTCCTTTCTCTATTTTTGTCAGTTCAAAAATTTTCTATTAATTTGCCCCCAAGTTTTGGTAAAGTTCATTTCTGATATTGTGCCTTTCAGTTCTAGACTTTTCATTTGTCTTTTTATATATACAGTTTTCATTTATCTGCTGAGATTATTGTGTTGTTTCACTCATCACAACCATTTTCCCCTTTATATTAGCAGTTAGTGATTTTTTTTCTTAAAAGGTAAGAAAATAAATATTTTAGGCCACCTGGTTATACAATCTTCCATTGCAGCAGCAAAGCAGCCATAGATGAAATATAAATAGGTGGGCATAACTTTATTCCATTGAAACTCTATCTATGAACATAAATGGTAGCCAATTCGCACGTCATAGCTATGAAGCTAGGAAGTTTGCTGACTTCTGCTTTAGTTATAATAAATGTTCTCAATGATATAAAATATTTTAAACAGTTGTTCTAAATTCTTCATCTGCTAATTCCAAAATCTAGATCATTTTAGGATCTATTTCTATTGACTTTCTTTTTAGTGGGTCACATTTTCCTGTTTCTTTGCATATCTATAATTCTTTTTACTTGCTAGGTATTATGAATTAGACTCCACAGACAGTCTGGATGATAATGTTGTTGTCCTCTAACAGGTGGTAATACTTCTGACAGGCAGTTGAAGGGATAGTGTATCCTCCTGTCTAGCAGGCTTGATTTTGTTTTTGTAAAGGTGGGTCTATTGTGGTTTTGAAATTCATTCTAGGAAAGTCTCTTCTTCTAGAGAAGATGAGCCAGATGTCTGTTTTTTATTAATAAAATTTGGTGAAACTATTTTTCTCTCAGATTCCCCAATAGGCAGTCAGTGCTTGGTCTCACTGCATCTTTCATGTGGAACCCAGATCTTGACTAAGAGCCTGAGGTGCCCCCCCTACTTCTGGGTCCCCCTTTGTTCAGTGTCCTCCTCTCCAAGGCTCCACCCAACAGATCCCAGTCATACCAAGTCAGGGAAGCCACCACAGTGCCTGGGCTCCACTTTGCTGCTGCCTGAGAGGAAAATGCCCCAGGAAGAAATTCGTGCAGTTGTGAGCTCATTTCACGTGTTAGCCTTCTCTCAAATAATGTAGCCCTGAACTGCCTGTCACTTGATACCTGAAACTCCTGCTGCACACATAAGGTGTAAAGTTGTTTTCAACAGAAAAGTAAGTTGGTCCCAGTTACGCTGCCAGAGCTGGGAGCAGAAGTCCTCTTTAGTTTTTCTGATATTATCCATGCCTTGTCTTGACAACAGATTGCCTTCTGGCACTTAAACATTGGATTGGCTTTTTGATAAATGCCAGCAAGTAGTAGCAACCATACGGACAGTAGAGAGAGATACCCTTTGGCAGGAGTTAAACTTCACAGTTTAACTTTTAGCGTCTGTTTTTATTGACTGTTTAGGGTAAATAGTACCTTATTCCATGTAATTTTCAAGTCAATAAAATAATTATCATTACACCCATTGCAGAACAGGAAGCTGAGCCATAGAGAAGTAAAAGCAATGAATCTATGAAGCTAGTAAGCTGGCAGAACTAGAATTTAGAAACTTGCAATTTTCTTTTAAAAACTTGTGGGTTTGGTTCTTGACTTCTGACTTCATTGCACTGTGGTTAGAAAATGAATTTCTGTGATACTTATTTTTTGACATTTGTTGAGACTTCCTTCGTTTCCTAGTAAGAAGTCAGTTTTTGTAAATGTTCTAGGTATGCTTGCATTTACAAACCCAACTTTCTCCTCTTTCTACTATGCTGCTTTTCTTGCTTTACTATGAAATTATCAGAATTTATTGAGAGTCTGTGCTAATGATTCCATATAACTGCTGGCCCTGCAAGCCCATTTAAATTGCTTTTGTTTCGTACGTTCTTGGACAGAGATAGGCCAACCTGTGCAAGTTCTCCCTAGCTTCAGTTCTTGGGGGAATCAGAGAAGGCCTGAGACACTGTACGGTGTGGTCTTCAGAGTGAAAACATGCTGGATGTCATAAGCATAGAAAAACTTCACTTCATCCTGAGTGATTAAAAGGGGTATTAGTGGAACCGGTGCTGTCTGTAATCCCAGCTGCCTGGGAGGCTGAGACAAGAGTTCAAAGCCAGCCTTAGCAATGGCAAGGCGCTAAGCAACTCAGTGAGACCCTGTCTCTAAATAAAATACAAAATAGGGCTGGGGATGTGGCTCAGTGGTCAAGTGCCCCCGAGTTCAATTCCCAGTACCAAAAAAAAAAAGGCAGGGGGGTATTAATGAGGGCTCTCCAAAAAAACAGAAAAACAGAACATGGTGTGTATGTGTGTGTGTGTGTGTGTGAATTAAAATCAGCTCATATCATCACAGAGGTTGAAAAGTTCCACGATGGTCATCTGCATGCTGCAGAGCTGGTGGTGATGACTCAGTCTGAGAAGCAGGAGCTTCCGAATCAGGGAGACCAACAGCACAGTCTCCAGTCTCAGGCTGAAGGTCCTCAAACCTTTGGAGGACCTCTGGTGTGAATCCTGAAGTTCAAAATCCAAAGAACCCGGAGTCTGATGTCCAAGAGCAGCAACAGCAGAAAACGAAAATGTATCCATTTTGCCAAGAAGAAGAAGAGGAAGAGAGAGAGAGAGAGAGAACACAAACTCTCTTTCTCCCTTCTTCTGCTTCCTGTTCCATCTGGAGTCCAGCTGACCGCATAGTGTCTTCCCCTCTCAATCTGCTGACCCTCTGTTCTAGTCAGCTTTTTCATTGCTGCAACCAAAAGACCTGACAAGAACAACTGAAGAAGGAATAAGTTTATCTGTGGCTCAGGGTTCCAAGAGTCTCCATCCATAGACAGCCAGCTCCAATCTTCTGAGCAGGAGGTGAGGCTGAACATCATGGCAGAAGTATGTGGTGGAGGGAAAAGGCTCGAGACATAACACCAGGAAGCAGACAGAGACTCCACTCACCATATACCCCAAAAGCACGCCCCCAATGACCCACTTCCTCCAGCCACACAGCCTGCCGATAGTAACCACCAAGTTAACCCCTGTCAGGGCATTAATTTATGGACTGGGTTAAGGCTCTCACAATCTAATCATTTCACCTCTAAATCTTCTTGTATTGTCTCACCCATCAGCTTTTGGGGGACCCCACCCACATATCTAACCATAACACCCACCTGCCAATCTTCTCTGGAAACAGCCTCACAGACACACCCAGATGTGCGCTTTACCTGATCTCCCGGCTTCCATCAGTTCATTCCAGTTGACATCCAAAAATAACCCTCACGCTAAGCAGTGGGCCAACCAACATCTAGGAGTACAGCAGCCAGGCCTGATCACCTGTCTGTACAGTCCCTGGATGTACAGATTCTGCTGTGCTAGACACTTCTGCTTCCCTGCCTCTTCATGTCTCTGCCATCCCTCCATCGGCCTCCTTTATCAGCCTGTAGCATGTTTGTAATCATCCAGTCTCTTGCATCAGAAGAACTTGTTGCAAAGTACGCAATGGAATCATTTTTCCTGAGTGGGCCAGAGCCATATTCCCCCTCAGGATGGACATGGGGCACTGCTCCTCATGTCCTTACTGGGTCACCTGTGTCCATTTTATGAACTGAGGGATAAGGTCTTCATGGTATGAGAAGGTAGTTGGTAAGTCAGTGGTGGGCAGGTAAGTAAGAACTACATCTCCCACATTAAGTGCAGCACTTATGTCTATTTCTTAAAAAAAAAAAATGCAGAATCATTAGCTATACAAAGCCTGATGACTCTTATTTCCTGAAAAGTATCTTGCATTGACATATTTAGTTCCTCAGTTAAACTTATTTGTCTTTATTCCTCTCCTTTCCTGACAGTCCTTTCTCTGTGTATATTTGCTAAACATGAGGCATATTCAAAATAAAACCTCATTAATTTTTCACTCATTTAGAATTTACTCATTTTACTTTGGATGCAGGTGCAAACTCTTAAACCATGTCTCATACAAAGATTCTTGGTTCCTTTCTAGGAAAAAGTGGGATGTCTATAAATCCTTGAAACAGAGTGAAGAAAGATGTGATTAAGTCATTGCCTGATCAAATATGTGAGGGTCTGGCCAGGGCCTCCTGAACTCACAGTCTGCTTCTCTCTCTTTGCAGAGTTTTGTGATAATGAACCACCGGAGATCAGTTATGCCACCTTCAAAGCCTTGTCTTTCGTTAATGGCACCATGTTAACCTGCGAGTGCAAGAAAGGGTTCCGCAGAATACAAAATGGGTCTCCCTATATGCTTTGTACAGGAAACTCTTTCTGGGAAAACAAGTGCCAGTGTGTAAGCTCTCGTAAGTGGTTCCTTTTGTAAACCCATGGAAAGAAAAATGTGCTAGGCACGATGGTGCATGCCTATAATCCCAGCAGTTCTGGCGGCTGAGGCAGGAGGATCATGAGTTCAAAGCCAGCCTCAGCAACTCAGTGAGACCCTGTCTTTAAATAAAATGCAAAATAGGGCTGGGATGTGGCTCAGTAGTTGAGTGTTCCTGAGTTCAATTCCCGGTACACCCCTCTCAAGGAAAAAAAAAAAAACTGGAGGACAGAATGAGACAGAATCCATCTTTCGTTCACTCAGCCTTGAAGACAACAAGTGGCCAGCCGAGTCTATGGGATAACTCACATTGGAGGCTTATGAAATAATCACTCATTAAACAAATGCTTAGTAGGGTGTCTACTACCTCTAAGAACTCCTCTGGGCTTTCTAAAACTGAATTGCTCTGACACTGTAATTTTGCTGTTGACCTTTCTCCTTGAATCCCCAAATCTCTCTCACAAAGCCCTACTTCTGCATTGGCCTCTCACCCACCCTGTGGTATTAGAATGTGCTGAAAGTGGTGGGATTGTTTGGAGATTGTGTGGGACAGTAAGTCAGACTACTATAAAGCCTGGAGATTGCTGCTCTGTGGAAGCACCTGCTTGAGTGTTTCCCAGCAGCTCTCTGTCTTATTCTGACCCCCACCCCATTGGAGTGCTCCCTTTGCCAAACTCTTTTGCCAACTCCTTTGCCAAGCTCTTCACTATAGGGAGGGGTATTATAGGAGGGGTCTTCCTGCCATAGCTTTAGGACAGCGCTTCTCTAATCGTAAGGATTTGAATAGCATTAGGGGAGTGAAGGGTTCATGGGGTGGTGGAGTCACACCCCTCCTGTGTGCCATCTCACATACCCATGCACACCACTGACAGTCCTGATAGCAAGCAAGGATCCCTTTTAGTGAGACATATATGAACAAAAAGGATTATCTACCAGAAAATCTTTAAATTCTTCCAGAAACATTTTGTAGCCATTGTCATTATAGACAGAATATGTAGAAGCCCCTGCAGGGCCAGGTGATAACCCTGCCCACCTAAGGGAGGGCTTGCCCCTGCTCATCAACACCAGCACCAAGATAGAGAATTAGTGCCCATGCAATTAGTAGATGAACCATGTGACCCATTTTAAATGTTTGTGAAGCTGTTTGCTGTACCCCTCTCATATCTTCCAGACCCTAGGAACACAGGGAAACAAGTTACACCTCAACCTGAAGAACAGAAAGAAGGGAAAACCACAAAAATGCAAAGCCAATTGCAGCCTGTGGACCAAGTGAACCTTGCAGGTAAGTGATGCATCTGAGCAACTGACTAGCTGACTCCTGGGAGCTGGCCTTCTCCTGCATCGGAATAATGTGTTTCCCCATGGAGAGAATTGAGTCCCACACACTATCCATAAGTGTGTGCATGTCATTCTCCTCTTCTCGGGATATCCTGTGGACAAGAACCATCACTTAACGTTGGCAGGCTGTTTGCTCAGCATCTCCAGCTACCCTTAACAGCACCCAACCTGGGCTTGTGATTTGGGAACTGGCCAAATAGAATCAACGTGGTTCAATTCAATCCAATTCAAAGGCATATGTTGGGACTCACTGTGCCAGGCTCTGCCAACAGAAGATGCGAACATGGGTGGGACAACAGTTCCTGCCCTCATGGAAACCCTCTGGTTTTCTCTGAAGTACAAGATGATGAATTACAAACAAAATGATTTTTGTCCAGGTGTTTCTTACAAGATGGAGTTATAAAATGTGCTGTACTATCCTGATGATACTTAAAGGCTCCAGACAAACATCTCCTGGCTAATGAGCTGGAGATGAGTGAGCTCAGCTTTCCCAAGTGAATATGCTTCCATTAAGGCATGACGTCAGGAAACGGAGCCCACTGGGAACACCTGAGCTTTGCCGGGAACAGTTGGCCATATGAAGACCCATTAGTCCTCTAGCCTTACAAAGAACCTTACCATATCGTATAATCTCATTTGAGCCTCACACCCCGGTGAGTCAGGGAGCAGAAAGCATTCCTTCATCTTACTAAAGAAACTGAGGCACCAAGAAATGAAAAGTACTCACATAATAGAACTGGAGTAAGATCCCAGGTCTCCTGGATTAGATGAGGGATCTTTCTACTGAGTACTTATTTTAAATGACTTTGAATTTATTTATAGCTTCCATTATGAGGGGAAGGAGGCCAATCCAGGGACACTATGCACTGTGGTGATTTTTCCCTTTGCTCTCTGACTTTGGGCTGCACTAGAATTTCCAAACACGTGTAATGTGTGTTTTGTTTTGTTTTCCCCATTTTACCCTCACAATGATTGAATGATTTCAGAAGTCAATGTGTGTTGTCCTTACTCAAGAGATAACCAGCTGGATCTGGCAGATGGATGCTTCATAAATTGTCATAGTTTGGATGCTTTCATTTGAAAGAAGCAAACCCAATCCAAACAGATTCAGGCAGTGATGGATTTTATTGTCCTTTAAAGAACATTTTATTCTGAGATTAAAACTCAAGCTCAGTCAAGATTTTCAAGGCTCTCTGTGACAGAAGCCAGCTCAGGACCGGGTCATTCGGCTTCCTGCAGCATCACAGGGCTTATCTAGAGTATTTGCAGAGGTTACTTTGGGTACTGAGGTTTATGGAGCATCTGGAAGTTCATGAAATGTGTGCAGTTTCATGGTCTTGGGTTAGAAGGTACACACAGTTCCTTATGATCAGACTGGGGACAGTGGGCGTGGCATCCTGAGATTAAATCAGAACAGAACACAATCTCTGAGGCCAAAGGTTAGCCAAGTCTGGGTTGTAGACAGTGTATGCAAAGTTTATGGGGCATAGGGGAGCTTAGAGTTCTCCACAGGACTCATGTGGATCAAGCTGCAGGCCTGGCTTAACCAGAGCTCATGTTTAATTTCTCTGAGATTTTTCTCAGTTCTTCCCTCTGGGCTTTGGCTTTGTCCCTGGTCACCTGCTGCCATTCAGGGATGTATTTCCTTTCTTCTTCAGCAGAAATCCAAGGTGTCTTTGCCTTGAGTTGAACCTGCCCTTACCCTTGAGCTAAGTTTGTCCTTTCCATCCCTGTCACTTCTCAAAGCCCTCAGTATCTTCCAGGAACCGGCTCAGACACTTCCTCATCTGGGTTAGCATCAGTCAGAATGAATGACTCATTTCCCCATGTCCCCAGCAAGACTCTCTGCTCTTCTGCGATCCTCACCACCTTCTGCCTTCATAGTTCTTACCCCATGGACTGTCCAACCCTTGCAGGTCTCTGTGCCACCCCACAGTGCCTAGCAAGGTTCCCAACATAGGGATGTTCTCAGTCTGTGTTGGTTAAATGAAAGAAGCAAACAAAAGAGAAAACAACAAGGTCCAGTCTCTAGCAAGAGGCCACCTGGACATATTCACAATGCTTTCCGCAGCTTGCCTTCAGAACAGCTTTCTCTCTTCCAGGTCACTGCCAAGAGCCCCCTGCGTGGGAACATGAAGACACAAAGAGAACTTATCATTTCATGGTGGGGCAGACACTTCACTATCAGTGCATCCAGGGGTACAAGACCCTACACAGTGGCCCTTTCCTGAGCGTCTGCAAAACTATCCGTGGAGGAACAAGGTGGACCCGACCCCGGCTCACATGCCTGGATGAAAATGAGCTCCATCTGTTTACAGGTAGGTGGCTCCTCTCTTGCGTCCACGCCTTGCTCTCTCCCTCTGTCTGACCAGGGTGGGATTCCTGACTTTACCTGCCACGTGACCCTGGGTAAACCCCTTGATGCTCTGGGCCTCAGTTTCTTCTCATTCTAAAACGAGAATGAGATCTCTAAGGCCCCTTCACCTCAGGTGGCCCTGTGCCCAGAGTGGGCATAAATAGTGATGGAAGAGGAAGTTCTCTCAAGTGTTCTGAAGCAGAGGGATGCTGCTCAGGGCAATAGGATCAGGATCAGCTGCCCTTGGTCTAGCTGATCCTGAAATTTTCCACTACTTCTCCGAGTTACCCAAGCTTCAATCTGCCGCCCCCACGTGTCTTCCTTTCCCAGATTTATGATGTAAACCTGTCATTTGTTAAGTGCTCTACTGTTACCATGCGCCTTCCTGTGTAAGTCCCCACCTGAGCTTTGACGAAAGTGCAGAGAAGGGGTTCACTCAAGCATGAGTGAACACATGCCACCTGCCTAAGTTGAGGTTTTCTGCTATGTGCTCTGAAATCTCACTAATTTCACATTCACCGTGAGAATTCCGGTTTCTTTGCTCACCACGGTTTCTCGTGCCCCATGACTTCCTCTGGGTTTCTCTAGGGATACTATTTCTTTCCCACAGCCTGACTCCAGCGAGCCACCCTGATGGCTAGGGCATGCCCATCATTTCCTCCCATCAAGTGGGAGAGCCTGAGTAACTGATCCCAGCCCGGGACAATGACACTGGGGAGGACCAGAGGACCTGTCAAAGAGGAAAGCTATCCCTTTGTGCATTTCCACTCCATGTGATGGTTCACGGTGCTTGGGTTATTAGCACCATTTCCAAGTCAAAGGTGGAAGCTAGGGCTGAACAGAGAGACTGGGGAGAAATCATGGCTCACAGTTCCATGCACAGCCAGGATCAGGGCCAGAATTCCCCATCGTCGTCTCTGCTGCAGCCCTTTACCTGTTTCCCAGTGACCCTGATGTGGAACCGTGTGGTGTGCCATCCCTAGAGATGCAACCACACCAGGAGACATGCCTCAGCAGGAGTATCCAGGGCCAGCTGCAGTGGGCAGATGCAAGAGGGGGGACTCCTGCCTCCCCACCTTGGGCCTCACAAGCAGCACTTTCTCTCCCCAGGTGAAGTTGACATTCAAACAAGCACAAATGATCTTCCTGAGAGTGAGACTTACCACACCATTACCACAACAGGTATGGGGGAGATGCTTGGCCATCAAAGCCAGATCAGGAAAGGGCAGGCAGTCTGCCTGATGCAAGCCTCTCTGGCAGATGGGCAGGGTCAGGAGAACCAACCCTGGCAGCCTCCTCCAGAGCAGGGACACGCCTCAGCAACCTGCATACCCAAAGCAGGTGTCAGAAAGAGGAACCACAGGACCGAGGTCTCCAGGCACAGGGATGAGGCATCTGCCCTCTGTTGACCATGGAGAAGTCACTCTCCCCAGCCTTGTGCACTCTACTTGCCATAAACTGAATGTCTCCCCCGCCCTCTTTTCATAGATTTCCAACAACACTCAGAAGTAGCAACAACCATGGAGACGTTCTTGTTCACGATGGAGTACCAGATAGTAGGTGGGTGACGTCCTTTTCTCTGTGGACAAAATGTACACCAGACCCTGACATGGACAGGTTGGTTGGCTGGTTTAAAAGGTCCTGTCCTCACATGACATGTTAATAAGGGTAGAAGGTGAATCCAGATCCTAACATTACCCAAGAATCAGTTATAATAGGTTATAAGTTAATTTTCAAACCAGACCCAACGTCTTCCTCTTGAGTGGGTCTAAAAGGAGCCCCCATAACCATGAGCCAGGCAAGAGGCCAGGGAGAGAAAGGAAACACGCTCCATAAACACTGTCGTTGTTTCCACATACGAGGGGAAAATGAGCCTTGGAGTTCCATCGGCCTGGACAACTGAATGAACGTGGAGCTCCAGAACCAGCAGTTGGAAAATGTGAGCAGGTTCAGGAGGGACTCATGTACTTATCATTTCTCTTCTGTTTCAATGATTCTTTCACCAGACACAGGCCTCACTCGCAGCCTCCTTAGGTGAGGCCTGGCCTCAGAGCACGTCCGAATTGCTTGTCTTGTCAGTTTACCCCAGAGGAGAGGTACCAGCTCCTTTCCCTAAAGACTCTCCTTCCAGGCCCACCTGGCCCTTATCCTCCTTGAGCCTCCTAAGAAATCCGTGGGGGTGGGACCTGCATTCTAAGAAGGGAGAGTGGAAAATGCAGTGCCCACCCTTCGGGAGGCTCTGGCTCATCTGGGGCACCTTCTCCCCAGCTCTGGGGACCCAGCTTCTGCTCGCCCCATGCCCAGCCCCAGGCACCCCTGCTGAACGCCCTCTCTGTTGACAGTGGCCGGCTGTGTCTTCCTGTTGATCAGCATCTTGCTTCTGAGTGGACTCACCTGGCAGCGGAGATGGTGAGTCCCACATTGTCAAGGAAGCCTGTCATTTAGAGTAGGGAAAGCGTCCCAAAGTTTGGTCCCTGTAACAACAGCAGCATAAGCACTGACCAGGGCTGTGCGCTAGGCCAAGAGTATTAAGAATTAAGAAGCCATCTTGAGAAAAGCCTTTAGAGAGTAGACCATAAGACCCACGGTGTCACTCTGTGAGTATCCAGGACGTCCCTGCCTGCCAGAATCCACTCTGGCCAACCCTGACATAAACTCCCAAATAAGACCTGGTAAGATACAGATCCTCCCCTCAAAACCCAAAGTTCTTAGAGTCTTCATTTAGCCCAGCCAGAGAGGGAAAAAAAAAAAAGCAGATTCCTTCCATTCCTTCCTTCCCTAAGGAAGGAATACACTCTTAACTTTCCTCATGTGGACTGAGAAGTACAAATTATTTCAGTGCAAATGAGAAGCCCTTCAGGGTTATTGCATCGGGAATTATTCACAGATCTGGCAATCCCCCATTTCTTTCTAAGGCGTTATTTCAGGATTACAGGAGATGAAGCGTGTAAAGTGTCTGACATATTGTCAGGTCTTCTCCCTCCCCAAGCTGAGTACTTGGCAAGGACCTTTCCGTTTGGTAGCTTGAAGACCAAAATCCCTCAGTCACAGAGGACAGACCACTGGGGAGCAGTCATGGTTCAGTTTATGTAGAGAAGTAAAGGACTGCCTGAAACTGTCTGAATTCCCACAAGACCTCCCAGGATTACAATCTCTGGAGAGATTCAAACTATCTGAGTTCCCACAAGACCTCCCAGGATTAGGTCTCTGGAAAGATTCGAACATAAATTTAAAAAAAAAAAAAAAAAAAAAAAAAAAAATCCTACTTTCTAGAATCTAATTTCGTCTGATGGCGCCCTCTTGTGGCTTAACAGATATTCTACATTTAATTTACTGGACCATCATGGGACCCCAGCCAGAGATTTGTTTTATTTTTTTGTTTGTCTGTTTTTGTGGTACTGGCGATTGAGACCAGAGGCTCTTTGCTATAAGCCACATCCCCATCCAGTCCTTTATTATTTTTCTTTTTGAGACAGAATCTTACTGAACTGCTGAAGGTCATTTTTAAATGGTTTGTTTTGGAGTAATCACCAGGAACCAGAGAAGTGTTACAGCAAGCTCACATTTTGGTTAAATTTTCAGGGACTTTTTGGGATAGTTTGATTTTGTTGTTGTTTAGCAATGGTAGGGACCAAACCCCAGGGTCTTGAACATGCTAGCAATTTCACTAACACTGAGCTACGCCCCCAGCCCTATCAACTGTTTTTTTTTTTTTTTTTAAACTCATCTGCATTTATTACTGTTTAAAGCAGAATGTTGACTTGGGCACTACATATTTCCATTCACAAGCCTTACTGAGTTACTTTTTGAACAGCTTTGTAACACACCTAAGGGAGGTTTAAGATTTTGTTTCTTGAAATACTTTTCTTTGGAAAACAAGCCCTGGAGAGTTCCTCCCAGCCAGTTGTCTGTTTCACATACTTGGTTCTAGAGGACTAGTACATGCACAGTGGGTAACTACAGGGGATCCTAATGAGATGAAACTCAAGCCATTTTAACAAATATCTTTCTTTTAAACATCAAGGTCTATCTTGGAACACTTCAGGGACAAAAGATTTGGTCTGGTCTACTAAGGGATACAACTTGGTAGTGGAACACTTTAGACTACAAAGTTAGGTTACATGTCTTAGAACAAACATCTCAACCTGTTAAAATAAGCCAATGTGAAACTAGAAAAGGCATTACTAGCTCTGCTTTAGTGCCTAAAGTATCACAGTATATCACTTAAAAGTACAAAGAAATCTAAGCACAGCTGTTTTTAAAAATTAGAGTATAACAAACTATATTAAAAACAAAGGCAATACATACTCAAAACTGATCACTTCCAAATTATTTTACTGCATTTCACTGAGATCTTTGCTCTAAAGGTAATTCACATCTATTGTACCTGTATCATGGAAATACCACAGGACGGTGTGCTACTGTGACTCTCCTCCCAGTTTTGTGTCCAGGGATGTCACGTGGGCAGCTGGATGCTTAGCATGGTAGGAGTACCTACACATGGAAACAGGCAAAGTTTTTCAGAGGGTTGATTGTAAGACATTCCTAGCACACCTCTGCTCTGAGTTTGCCCTGAGAAGCTTTAAGCAAGGTAGGGAATAACCTGATATTCTTATGAGCTCATTAAGGACTGAGAAAACTAAAAACCATACTGTCCAACATGGCAGCCTCTAGCCACTTATGGATATTTAAGTTCAATCTTGGATAATTTAAATACCATTAAAAATTCGATTCCTTGGGCCAGGCATGGTGGCACACACCTATTTAGGGATATAGCTCAGTGGTAGCTCACTTGCCTTGTGTGAGTAAGGCTCTGGGTTCTATCCCTCATACTAAAATAAGGAAGGAAGGAAAGAAGAAAGGAAGGGAGGGAAGGAGAGAGGATGGAAAGACGCACGGACTCCTGTAGCCAGGACTCCTGTAGCCACCGTGTCCTAGAACAAAATGTAAAGTGAAGATCTCAGGTAATATGCCCCTTGGGATTTAGCCACAAAACAGCCCATCTGTTCTTTGCTCCCTCAGACCCACATCAAGGTCTATCTGCCTCTGGAGTAATGGGGACACAGGAGGGCTTCCAGGACTCTTCCTCAGACCCCCCTTATTGAACACTAAATTGAAGAGTGAACCATAAAACAGAGGCTAAGACTGGGCAGCCACTTTGGGCCTCCAGAGGGGCGGCAAGATCACAAGGTCAGGTTTCACCAAGTAGGAAGGTAATGGTATCCTGGGGTAGAATCAAAATTAGCAGGTCACACTTCTGGTTGGGACTCAAGTAGAATACTCTGCCCATATTGGTATAAGGTGGGGACCACATTTTCCTTGGCACAATTATTACCCATATGGCTATGACTGAGTTATTATCACCACAGGAAGAAGAGTAGAAGAACCATCTAGAAAACCCAGAGTGGTGAGAAGCCAAGAACAGCCAACAGAAGTCATGAGGCAGAAGCAAAGTCAGAGAGGTCAAACGCTCATCTCGCATCTCGCATCTCACATCTCTTGGCTTTGGGGAACCTCTGGATTCACATCACAGGACATCAGGCAGCTGCTGCCATATCACTAAGACAATCTGTACCATCAAAGAGGGAGACCTGCCCACTTCTATCCAGAATTTCCAAGGTCTTTAAAGGGAAACGGAACTCTTTGACTTATCTTTGTGGACATGGGTTGATTAAAGATAGAACAGCATGGAATGTTCTCCATATCCTATACAATATAAAGTAACTTTGTGTTGACTTCATCCCAATTTCCCAGTTTGGAAATCCCAGGTAAAGCCTTAGCACTAACATAAGTAGTCTCCCTCCCATGCCACCCCGTGTGCCTGGATCTCATCTGTGGGGACCTTTCCCAGCTCCGGTTGGCTAGTCCATTCTGATCACTTTGTTTACTAAACAACCTTTAAGAACTCTGGGCTGGCGACTAGCACACTGAGCCTAGCTCAATACTGTAACGCAAACCTTTTCTTTTGAGGCTTCAGATTTGAATCTCTAAAGAAAAAAAGCTGTGGCAGAATCATTTGTGGAAAATATCAAAATAAGGCAGCTAATCCCTTGGAATTGTGAAGCTTCAATATTGGAGAGGATTCGAGAGGATTTCAAATATTGAATGCTAGTGTCAGGAACAGGAGGGTAAACTATGTTCCAGAGAATGAATTATACTTATCAAAATACTTTACTTGTATCTTATTATCAGGCCTCTTTAAGAGTTGGCTTCTTTGGGATTGCTGTAAATTACACTCAGAGCTGGGCCTACACTAATTTGATGTTTACTGGTAGACACACAATGTACAAATGTGCACATTTCCCAATACATGTCATAAAAACACTGAAAAAGGATCAGTTCATTCAATGTTGATGGAAGGAAGGAAGTGAATGGGGGAAGTGATACTGATAAAATTTTGCGGTAGAAAAGGTGCCCCTGTGGTCCTCAACTGTTACCCAAAAGCTCAGCAAGTCAGAAGGCTTGGAGGCCTTCTTAAAACAGATGGCTGGGCCCACCTCTGGAGTTGCTGAGTCAGTAGATCTGGGATTTTTATTTCTAACAAGTTTCCAGGTGATTCTAATGGTGCTGGTCCAAGGAACCAGCTGAGAATCAGTGTGCATTCCGTGTGCCCACCCACCCTCAACTGCTAGTGAAAACATCAGCTTCAGGTGCTGAGGCCTCTGAGCATTCTTCTTCAGTCTCATAAGAGATATTTCTTCAAACCGGTTGGCTCAGATGTTCAAATTTAACATCATGTGATTTCATGAGATTAGAGAGAAGTTTGAACTATCAACCACTTTTCATTTCTGGAAAGGCAGAAGAATGTGTGTTTAGGCAGGACATGGTGGAGCATGACTATAATCCCTGTAAGTGGGAAGGCTGAGGCAGGAGGATTGTAAGTTCAAGGCCAGCTTCAGAAACTTAGTGAGACCCTCTCTCAAAATAAAAAAATTAAAAGAACTGGGATGTAGCTCGATAGTAAAGCACCCCTGGGTTCAATCCACGGTACCAAAAAATAAATCAATAATAAATAAGAATGAGCTAGTTTCACCAGGACCTACATTCAGATTTTTTCTATGATCAGCCAAGTACAAAGCAGACTTTCTTTTTCATGCTCCCTTTCCCAAATATAGGCTTTCTAGGTAAACTAAATTTGAGAGGCATCTCAGACAATAATTTTAAAATATAATATTTTTAAAAAATTCTTCCTTGAGTAAAACTGAATTGTATGATCATTACTCATTTTGGAAAAGAGGGGGCTATTACATCAACATTTTTTTCTTATTAATTTCAGATTTACTTACCTATTTTATTCTCCCTCACTTATGACAATAGAAATAACAAATTTGAAATAAGAAAACGGTTTATTCTGAGCCAACACAAGCCCTGGGAACACCAACTCAAATTAATGACATGAGTTCCCAAAGCACAGGGTTCCCTAAGGACATGATCCTCCCGGAAAGAGATTACACAAGTATTTTATAGTGCCAATAAAGTAGGTGGGGTCCCCAGGCGAGCTACAAAATGGTACTTCCACGGTTTTCAATAAAGCAGGGGAATCTCCTCCAGGAGTCAAGTACCATCTCATTATTAGTCTGAAAATTAAATAGTGGTCCATGAAGCTTAGCAGACATTTACCCAGTGGTCACAAAAATGCTAGGTTGGGCACAGAGGCCCGTGATACATGGCTGTAAAAGGAGCCTAATTAAATCATCCAATACAACTTAAGCTTCTTATGACATTTCATCTCTCCACAAGGTCACAACACTCCAATCAGTGAGATTTAAACCATCTGGGAGCTCTTAAATACAGACATGGCCTCTTTGAGGACTCTTCAGTTCACACTCAGAAGTAGTGGAATTTTCAAGAAATCACATGCTATGTGATGAGTTCATATCATGAGTTCATTTCCATTGTTGATGAAAGAATGGATAAATGGTATTGTAATTTTTTCTTGTTTTTAGTTTTTAATTATGGTAAATATCAACAGATATAAACCTACACAAACAAAAGCTCTTTGGGATCCTCCCAAGTTTGTAATAGCTTTAATGTTTTTAATTATTTTTTATTCTAACTTGTTATATAAGACAGCAGAATGCATTAAAATTCATATTACATATATGTAGAGCACAACTTTTCGTATCTCTGGTTGTACACAAAGTAAGTCACACCATTCGTGTCTGCATACATGTACTTAGGATAGTGATGTCCATCTCATTTCACTGTCTTTCCTACCCCCATGCCCCTTCCCTTCCCCTCCCTCCCATTAGATAAACTCTACCTAGAGTTTGTCTATTTCTCCCATGCTCCCCTCCCAACCCTATTACGAATCAGCCTCCTTATATCAGAGAAAACATTCATCATTTGGTTTTGGGGAATTGGCTAACTTCACTTAGCATTACCTTCTTCAACTCCATCCATTTCCCTGCCATGATTTTATTCTCTTTTAATGCTGAATAATATTCCATTGGGTATACATACACGTTTTCTTTATCTATTCATCAACTGATGGGCATCTAGGTTGGTTCCACAGTTTAGCTATTGTGAATTGTGCTGCTATAAATGTTGATATGGCAAGAGGGCCTGATGAAGGACTAGTGAGAAAATCAATTGCACAGGTATTTCAAAAAGACAAAATTTAAAACTACAAGGAAAGCCAGTGTGGTGGCACACACCAGTAATCCCAGCAGCTCAGGAGGCTGAAGCAGGAGGATCACAAGTTCAAAGCCAGCCTCAGCAACAGCCAGGTGCTAAGCAATTCAGTGAGACCCTGTCTTTAAATAAAATACAAAATAGGGCTGGGGATGTGGCTCAGGGGTCAAGTGCCCTTGAGTTCATTCCCTAGTCCCCGCCCCAAAAAAAAACCTTCAAGGAGATATCACTTTATGCCCACTAAGGAGACTTTAAACAAAAGAAGGAGAAGAACCCTCATAAAGTTCTGGGGGCAGAGTAAATGGTGCAGCCACTGTAGAAAAGAGATTGAGGGCTCCTCAAATCACTAGGTGTAGAATTATCCTCTGACTCCACAATTCCACTGTTATTCATGTTCCCAAAAGAGAAGTGTCCAAATAGAAACATGTACACAACTATTTCTGTTGTGTGCATGCCAAAAGGTGTTCAATCCAAGGGAACTTTTCAGGCACTAGAGAACAGGAGAGGTGGGGACAACTAAAGGTATTAAATAACCCAACAGGAGACAGTAAAACCTAGATGACCTTTAAAGACTGCACACCATTGGGTATTCAGCCAAAGGGGAATGCAGGGCTAGGGGGACCACAAGCTCTGGAGGATACAATGCTAACTGTACCAGACCTGGGTGTGCCTGCTCCTCAGACACCTAATCTTGCAAGAGCGTCATTAAAGCCTCTATTTTTTGCTACACTTTGTGTCTCTTAGTCCATTCTTAGTCCCTCTTGTCCAGTCCAGTGAGCCTCCACTCCTCCCTCCCACCCCACCACCCACTGTTGTGAGTCAGCATCCACATATCAGAACGAACATTTGGCCTTTGGTTTTTGAGCTGGCTTATTTCACTTAGCATGATAGCCTCCAGTTCCATCCACTTACTGGCAAATGCCATAATTTAATTCTTCTTTGTGGCTGAGTAGTATTCCATTGTGTATATGTGCCACATTTTCTTTATCCATTCATGTATTGAAGGGTATCTAGGTTGGCTCTATAGCTTAGCTATTGTTAACTGAGCTACTATGTATGTACATTGATGTGACTGCATTGCTATAGTATGCTGATTTTAAGTCCTTTGGGTATATGCCAAGGAGTGGTATAACTGGTCAAATGGTGGTTCCATTCCAAGTTTTTCGAGAAATGTCCATACTGCTTTCCATTGTGGTGGCACCAATTTGTAGTCCCATCAACAATGTATGAGTGTACCTCTTTCTCCACATTTTCACCAACATTTATTGTTACTTATATTCTTTAAACAATTTTTTTTTAGTTGTAGATGGACATGATAGCTTTTTAAAAAAATTTTTATGTGGAGCTGAGGATCAAATTCAGTGCCTGACATGCGCTATGCATGTGTTCTACCACTGAGTTACATTGCCATTCTGACTGGAGTGAGATAAAATCTCAGTGTAATTTTAATTTGCATTTCTCTAATTGCTAGTGATATTGAAAATTTTTCATATATTTGTTGACTATTTGTATTTCTTCTTCTGTGAACTGTCTGTTCAGTTCCTTTGTCCATTTATAGATTGGGTTATTTGGGTTTTTTGGTGTTTTTTGAGTTCTTTATATATCCTGGAGATTAACACTGTATCTGAGGTGCAGGTGGCAAAGATTTTTTCCCATTCTTGATCTGTAGTATAATCTTCATGTTCTTGATCATATCCCTTGCTGTAAAGAAGCTTTATAGTTTGATACAATCCTATTTATTGATTCTTGATTTTTTTTGGCAGGTGTCATGTGTATCCAAAGAATTGAACTCAGGGGCACTCAACCACCGAGCCACCTCCTCAGCCTTATTTTGTATTTTATTTAGAGAGAGGGTCTCACCGAGTTGCTTAGTGCCTCACTTTTTAAAAAAATATTTTTTTAGATGTTGATGAACGTTTATTTTATTCATTTATTTATATGCAGTGCTGAGAATCGAACCCAGTGCCTCACACATGCTAGGAAAGTGCTTCACCACTGAGCCACAACCCCAGCCCTTACTGCCTCGCTTTTGCTGAGGCTGGCTTTGAATTCACAATCCTCCTGTCTTAGCCTCCTGAGCCGCTGGGATTCCAGGCATGTGCCACTGTGCACCACCACACCCGGCCTGATTCTTTTTTTTTTTTTTTTTAATTTTTTTTTAGTTATACATGGACACAATATCTTTATTTATTTTTATGTGGTGCTGGGGATTTTACTTCTTGCGCTTTTAGGAGTCTTGTTGAACAATTTGGTTCCTAAGCCAACATGATGGAGATTTGGGCCAACTTTTTTTTTCTATTAGGCACAAGGTTGCTGGTCTAATGCCTACGTCCTTGATCCACCTTGAGTTGAGTTTTGTGCAGGGTGAGAGATAGGGATCCAATTTCATTTTATTTCATATGGATTTCCATTTTCCCCAGCACTATTTGTTGAAGAGGCAATCTTTTCTCCAATATATGTTTATGGCACCTTTGTCTACTATGAGATAAATGTATTTATGTGGGTTTGTATCTATGTCTTCTATTCTGTACCACTGGTCTTCATGTCTATTTTGGTGCCAATACCATGTCATTTTTTGTTATTATAGTTCTGTAGTATAATCTAAGATCTGGTATTGCGATGCCTCCTGCTTTATTTTTCTTGTTAAGGATTGCTTTGGCTATTCTGGGTCTCTTATTTTTCCAAATAAA